GTAGTCCTCTCTGGGACAGTAGTCCTCTCTGGGACAGTAGTCCTCTGGGACAGTAGTCCTCTGGGACAGTAGTTCTCTCTGGGACAGTAGTTCTCTCTGGGACAGGGACAGTAGTCCTCTCTGGGACAGTAGTCCTCTCTGGGACAGTAGTTCTCTCTGGGACAGTAGTTCTCTCTGGGACAGTAGTCCTCTGGGACAGGGACAGTAGTCCTCTCTGGGACAGTAGTCCTCTGGGACAGTAGTTCTCTCTGGGACAGTAGTCCTCTCTGGGTCAGTAGTCCTCTCTGGGACAGTAGTCCTCTGGGACAGTAGTTCTCTCTGGGACAGTAGTTCTCTCTGGGACAGGGACAGTAGTCCTCTCTGGGACAGTAGTCCTCTCTGGGACAGTAGTTCTCTCTGGGACAGTAGTTCTCTCTGGGACAGTAGTCCTCTGGGACAGGGACAGTAGTCCTCTCTGGCAGTAGTCCTCTCTGGGAGAGTAGTCCTCTGGGACAGTAGTCCTCTGGGACAATAGTCCTCTGGGACAGTAGGGGACAGCTCTCTTCTGCTGCAGCTCGGTGCTTGCTAGCTGCATGTTTGTGCTGTGGTGGAATGACTGTTATGTCAGGCATGCTAACGCTAATGCCCAGGGGCCGAGCGCGTGCTCGCGGCCCCAGACACAGCAGCACAACAGGGGGAAGTTCCCACGTGTCTCCCCCTTTCCCCCCTCTCCCCTTCTCTGCTCCATGGCTCTTCTTTATTAGCTTGGTTATGCAACAACCACAGCAGGCCTGCCGCCCGCTCAGGGGGCTCTTTATCTTTGGGCACAAAGCAAAACCAATGCAATTATTCTAGAAAGAGCGAGTCGTGTTTGCAGCATGAAGGTTATTCACATGCAGCCGCTTTCTGCTTACCCACACTTTCCTTTATGTGGGTCTTTGTCTTTGGGGGCGAGGGCAGGTCTCTCTCTGGTCCCTCTTTCTTGTCTCTCCCTGGTCTCTCTCTGGTCTCTCTTCCTGGTCTCTCTCTGGTCCCTCTTTCTGGTCCCTCTTTCTTGTCTCTCCCTCATCTCTCTCTGGTCTCTTTTCCTGGTCTCGCTCTCTCTGTACATATATTTGTGTGGATTAAATGCAGATGAAGCACTTTGGTTCCATCATTATTTTTCACATATACTTTTGGTCTTTGCCTCAGATTTTTCAGACAGAAACATGAAAAAGAGAGGACCGCCCTCTCTGCCCAAAGTAGAAGAGAATCACAGGGCTGTGTCTTACAAGATCAATTCAATTTATTCGCCCTAAATCACAACAGTAGTTATCTCAGAGGATTTTACAAAGTTGTTGATTCGCTAACAACAGATCAGAGAATCTAACAGTCCAAACACAGAAAATGCAATGATTACAAACACACAAGGGGTAGAGACCAAAGTCCATAAGTGTTGTGGACTGATTTGTTTACAACATTTATAGAATTAACATTATTATTTATGAAGACAAAGCTTCATAAATAATAAGCTTCACACTAACTTGAGCTGCTGGGAACAGAAGTGTCTCTGTGAGTTTGTATTGTGCAGAAGCTAAACAGGACATGCCGATCTTCAGCCGCCATTGTTATCACTGCTTTCTTCTTCTTCTGGGAGGAAGCGAACGGGCTCTTCAGTGTTTGTCTCTCTCTGAATGCCTTCTCCAACTCTGTTATGAACCTGGAGCTTCAGTAGAGAGGATCCTCAGAAACAGGACAATTGTGTGATGTAGGAAAGTTTCTGGTCAAATTCCAATTTAATTTATTAATGACAATGTACATTAACCAAATTTAGCACGTGATATGTCTGTAGTCCTTACATTACATTCATACAACATACTAATTAAAAAAGTTGCCAACATAGTTACAGTTTCATTAAGATATAATTGTATCTTAAATAAATAATAATAATGCATCAGCTTTTTTGGACACTCAAAGACGCTTTACATGTGTCATTATTCATTCAGTCCATACACAGTGGTGATAAACTACTACTGTAGCCACAGCTGCCCTGGGGCACACTGACAGTAACCAGTATGTGACCACCACCAAGTAAGTAGTAAGTAATCTTTATTTATATACCGCCTTTTCACTGCAGATCAGAGTCTCAAAGCGGTTTACAATTGTTAATTATGGGCATTTATCTCTCACTCCACACAGAGATGGGAGCGAGGCCAGTACAGGAGGCGCATGCTAGAACTATTGGACATATTTTTAGTGGTAGGGGAAACCGGAGTACCCGGAGGAAACCTACGCAGACACGGGGAGAACATGCAAACTCCACTCAGAAAGGCCCTGGTCCGACCGGGATTCGAACCCAGGACCTTCTTGCTGAGAGGCAAGAGTGCTATCCACTCAGCCACCGTGCCGCCCACTATTCACACACACACACACCGGACTCAATCTAGGCAATGGGGGTGAAGTGTCTTGCCTAAGGACACAACAGCAGTTTGGCACTTTACACACTGAGCCCAGCAGGTGGCAGCAGCGTTCTGTGGGTGTCTTGGTCAAAGATCACTCCCTGAGCACTCTGAGCAGGAGAGACAGAGGCGTGGCAGGCATGGAGGAATACAGCCAGGTACAGGCTTCTCTTGGAGGCAGTTTACAGTGTTTATCATCTGTGACTTACTATTATTGACATAAATATAGCACCACCTAATGGATGAATACTGGCCATTCTTTCTGACATAGTTTATCATGGGCTCTACTTTTGATATAGCCTGGTCGTACCACACCATAGTACAAATTACATTTCGTACTAAGGTCTGGATTTGCTCCATTGAGCTCCGTTTACAGGTGGGAGGGGTTAACTCCTTTTGCAGATTGAAACCATTGGATCTGAGTTCCGGTCAGACCAGGGCCTTTTTGAGTGGAGTTTGCATGTTCTCTCCGTGTCTGCGTAGGTTTCCTCCGGGTACTCCGGTTTCCCCTACCACTAAAAATATGTACAATAGGTCTGGCATGCGCCTCCTGTACTGGCCCCGCTCCCATCTCTGTGTGGAGTAAGAGACAAATGCCCAAAAAATAACAATTAACCGCTTTGAGACTCAGATCTGCAGGTATATAAATAAAGATTACTTACTACTACTACTTACTTACAAGTGAAGGAGAAGGAGTCATGGAAGCTAATGGGGAATGAGTTATTGAAGCTAACGGTAAAAAAACCTTGTCATTAATTGAAAAAAAAAATTGCACAGAATTGATTTAAAGTACAAAGTGAAAAAATACTATTATTTATCAAAGTGCAACTGTTTCAAGGCTCTTACACAAATTTGAAATAGTATTTTTCAAATCTGTATATTTGGGGCAGCAGTAGTATGTTTGTGTATTATTCTATCTGTATGTTTTAAATGTGAAGCGCTTTGTGATCCTGGTCTGTGAAAGGCGCTATACAAAGAAACTTAACTTACTTAGTAGTCGTTGTGGTCTGGGTTTTTCTGTTTTTTTCCAGTTAAACGTCTCTGGTCCACATTAAACATGAGCACCTGCAGCTTGTATTGGAGTGCGGCTTATACACAGGAGCGCTTCGTAGAAAGTGCAGAAAGTACACGTTTACATTCTTCAGTGATGGAGCCGCTCTTTAATGGGGCTCCACTTTACAGTTTGGTTAAAGCTCGGCACAAACATTAGAGCTAAACGTAGAGTCAGCTCCTGAGTCAGCTCGTCCCGCTAGGGCCTCGCTCCAGGAATCTCCACATTCTCAGTCTAACTGGTTTTTAATTCCATTCAATTCAATTTATTTATGTATATTCCTAAATCACAACAGTTGCTACCTCTAAGGGCTTTACTGCAGATTAAAGATTCATTTTAAACACAGGAAATGAAATAATAACAAACACATAGGGTTAGGGTTAGTGTAACTGTTACTCCCAGGGGTCTGTTTTTAGCGTATGTGAGGCATTTTGGCACATACTATCACCGAGAACTCACCGTCTCCTTTTGAACTCACTCTCATAAATAATGCAGTCTTCTTTAACATTATCCACAACATTTTTAAAACAGATTTAAAGCAGCAGCAGAAACACAGCTGAGGTTTTCTTTATTGTGGTTCACTTAGAGAAAGGCAGGAAACTTCTCTCAGGAAACACGCCCCCGACTGCAAACCAGCAGGACTCCACCGTTCACTTCTTTAGGACACTCTTCTGAATATGTGATGTTGACATATTTCTAATGCCCTTCATATGTGATCTTTGATACTGTGATCACCACAAGCACAGTCACAGAAGAGCCTCTGGGAATCATCTCTGTGTCAATTCAATTCAATGTGTTTTTCCATTGCCTTAAATCATAACAGCAGTTAACAGAGGATTCACCAACACAGATCAGAGAATCAAGAAATTAGAGATCCAGGACCAAGACTGTAGATCTAGGGCCGAGACTGTAGATCCAGGACTGAGGCTGTAGATCCAGGACTGAGACTGTAGATCCAGGACCAAGACTGTAGATCTAGGGTCGAGACTATAGATCCAGGACTGAGGCTGTAGCTCTAGGGCCGAGACTGTAGATCCAGGACTGAGGCTGTAGATCCAGAACTGAGACTGTAGATCTAGGACCAAGACTGTAGATCTAGGGTCGAGACTATAGATCCAGGACTGAGAGATCCAGGACTGAGACTGTAGATCCAGGACTGAGGCTGTGGATCCAGGACCGAGACTGTAGATCTAGGACCGAGACTGTAGATCCAGGACTGAGGCTGCAGATCCAGGTCTGAGGCTGTAGATCCAGGACTGAGGCTGTAGATCCAGGACCGAGACTGTAGATCTAGGACCGAGACTGTAGATCCAGGACTGAGGCTGCAGATCCAGGTCTGAGGCTGTAGATCCAGGACTGAGGCTGTAGATCCAGGACTGAGGCTGTAGATCCAGGACTGAGGCTGTAGATCCAGGACTGAGGCTGTAGACCCAGGACTGAGGCTGTAGATCCTGTGCTGCATGTTGCTGTGGTTTGCATCTGTCTGCTGTAGTTCTTTAACAGTATTTGTTTGTTTGTTTGTTTGTCCCCAGGATCACAAAGCCTCTGACGTTCGCTGACTGTGTTGGGGATGAGCTTCCTCTTGGGTGGGAGGAGGTCTACGATCAACAAGTCGGAGTCTACTACATTGACCACATCAACAGTGAGGACTTCCACTCATTAATAAATGTTTTTTTTTTATCTCAGTCAATTTTACACATAGTTACAGAGCAGTGGAAACGGCAGAAGGAAAGGCCGAAAAGGGGTAGGCTGAATGTAATGCTTATTTTAGCCTTAGCCAAAAACGGCACTAAATTTGACCATGTTTATGCGGTGCCGGGTGCACGCCACTACCACACTGCGTCTGCTTGTCCACCAATATGGCGGAGGCCTCGCGACTTCAAGCCTTTGTGACGTGACGCGAGAAATCTCTATAGCCACTCTCTGCTGCCATGTTGTTGTGTTTACTTGCGCTGTAGAGGCTTGAGGAGGCGTGGCCTGTTTGTAACAACACTTCCCCTTGTTGTGGAAATGGAGGAGAGCTAGCGTCATGCAAAGTTTCTACTCAGCACTTTTTACGGCCTGAATTCATACACAAGCTGAATCAATGAGCTCAAGTTTTCAATTAAATGATGGATTTTAATACAACTTGTATGTATTGACATTTTTATGAACTCATTAGAAAATAAACCGGTATGGTTTCTTTAAAGACAAGTAAAACTACAATCAAATGATAATATTTTATTATCATCAAATGTAAATGATAATAAAATAGCTGCAGATAGATGAACTATACACAAAGATTACATTGGATCTTCAGCTCTCTCCTTCTCTTCTTACTGTTGTTGATCAAAGACACTCCATAATTAACCCATATCCCAATATTTTCCCCCCTTATAGATTAAGCTTTAAGACAGTATTGCACATTCTAGGTTAATAATAAAAGGGACATTATATACTCCGGTACTGCATTATAATGTGTTCTTTAAACTTGTATCTTGATTTTGGGCAGAGACTACACAGATCGAGAACCCGCGCACACAGTGGCGGCAGGAGCAGGAGCGCATGTTGAAGGAGTACCTGGTGGTGGCGCAGGAGGCGCTGGAAGCAAAGAAGCAGATGTACCGAATCAAACAGCAGCGACTGGAGCTGGCCCAGCAGGAGATCCTCCTGTTCAGAGAGGCCTCCGAGGACAACCGCTCCCTCAGCAGCAGTAAGGCCTCATCACACCTGAGCCATGTTAGCCTCCATGCTAACCTACTGTATCTTGCTAACCTCTTATTTCTATCTATACTGTAGATTCTACTGCAGTGTCTTTTTTATTTTCCTATTCTTTTGAAATATGGACCAACTTAATTTGAGTTTGAAGTTTGAGAAATATTAACAGAAATAATACAATTTATTATATTTACAGCATCAGATAAAAAAAATAAAAAAAATATGCAGTTTGGGGTTGGATGAACCAAAGGCAACTTAAAACACACAGACACTGACTCTCACAGACCTCAACAGACCCTGTCAGACTCTCACAGTCTCTTAAAGACCCTCACAGACCCTAATGACCTTAAACATTTGCTTCCTTCTGCCCACAGCTCTCTCCAGCTCCTCGTCCAAGTACGACTTCAGTCAGATAAGAGACGAGGTGACAAGTCGCAGAGAGCGGGTGAGTCTCACTCTGTGTCTGTGTTAGGGTCTGTTAGGGTCTGTGGGGTCTGTTAGGGTCTGTGGGGTCTGTTAGGGTCTGTTAGGGTCTGTTAGGGTCTGTTAGGGTCTGTTAGGGTCTGTTAGGGTCTGTTAGGGTCTGTGGGGGCTGTGCTAAGGGCTGTGTCATGGTCAGAGATGAAGGCTGTGTTAGGGGCTGTGTTAGCGGCTGTGTCAGGGGCTGTGCTATAGGGGCTGTGTCCTCAGAGACTGTCTGCATAGACGGCCCCACATAACAAATGTAAAGTTCTCATGTTCTGTGCATGAGGAAGAAGTGAGATGTCAGTGTTGTATCACCAGTTACAGAACAGTTGGAATGAGGAACACACGGCACCAGATAAGTGAACAGTAACTCTATACTCAAGTAAAATAACATCTCTAACTCGAGTGTAATAAAGTAAAAAATAAAATAAAATAGTATACTAAAGGTAAAAACCGTATAAATCCTGTATAGTGCAGGCATATATGTGTGCATGCATGTATACATTAGCATGTTAGCAGCATGAGGCTCTGGGACACAGTGAAACATGTGGTTCCATGTTTTAAATCCTCGATGTGCCTGGTTCCTGTGTTCGTCGCCCTCTGAACCCGACATTCCAGCGTGAGCAGCGATGACTCAGCTCTCACTGAGAACAGCCTTTTGTTATATGTTCCACCATTTTACAAAAATATCCAATTGTTTTTTTCATGACGAATGTGATTTACAGTTGTTAAAAAATGTTAGATTCTGTTCAGAGTTAAGTTTTTTCCACTAAGTTGCTTGTCCTCGTCTCCTCATTACAATGATATGCTATATGCCTTTTATTTATTTTTTTACATGCAATTAATATTCAATTGAATTAATTTGTGTATTGTCCTAAAACACAACAGTAGTCACCACTGAGGACTTTACAAAGCTGTCAATTCGCCAACACAGATCAGAGAATAAAACAGTTAAAACACAGGAAATGCATTAATAATTTTCTATTGAACAACTCTAATGAGAATGACTATGTTAATAAGCAAAGATAAAATGCACATTTAAGAACACTAACTTTATTAACCAACACTTATGAACAGTGAGTCCTATGTGTTTGTTACTCTCACATTTCCTGTGTTTGAACTGTTGCTGGTAAATCCACAACATCCGTGACGACTGCTGCTGTGATTCAGGGCAGAGGTGGGACAAAGTCTTTGTTTGGCATGTCACAAGTTAGTCTCAATTCAATGCTCTCAATTCCCAAGTCAAGTCCCAAGTCAAGTCCCGAGTCAAAACAGGCAAGTCCCGAGTCGAGTTCAAGTCAAAGGCCAACAAGTCTCAAGTTAAGTCCGGTCGCACGGTTTGAGTTTCAAGTCCTTTCGAGTCTTTTTGACCACGATTCTCAGTATTGGTCTAGGACCAGAAGATAGGTACGGCTCACAAGACACACAACAGAGACGGGGATATGTGCAATTATGAATTATATTGAATAAAGATGTATTTACAAAACAGGCTGTCCAGAATATCCATATCAAGAGTTCAATGTCCTTAAGGGTTATAGTTCCAAATGTCCAATCAAAACAACGTCTAATGTATGCAAACTTTTGCAGGAGGAGCACAGCAAAAACATACTCATGATAGTAGGCCACGGCGCCATTTTGTTTTTTTGTGCAAAAACCAAAACGGTTTGACTCACGAGTTCCTCTGAGTTTAAAACACAGCACACGGTGTGAGAACCGCGTCGGAATTCAATAAATACAAATAGGCGCATGTCCAAGTGAAAGTCAGAGTTATTGATTTTAAAGTCCAAGTCGAGTTGCAAGTATTTCTATATTTTGTCAAGTTGAGTCTATAGATGGTTTTCCATCACGTGCTTATTACCCATGATGCTTTGCGCGAACGGCATGTTGTATGTCTGGCTTATATTGCATGGATCATTTGTCACTGATAATTTGGGATCATTTGTCCCCATGTCATGTCGCGTTAAGTATATTGATACACTGGAGTAATCTGTGAGGCAAGACCCTTGGAGAAATTGAGTGATCGGAGATTTGGATCCATATGAAACGCGGCGAGATCATTGGCTTACTTTCTCTTAACAGTTTTACAATTAAAAAAGGTCATGATGTATATGATGCAATATTTCTTTCAATCAATAATTTATTTTGAACGAAGCAGTTAATATCACAGGCCGTAAATCACTTCTGTCTACCACCCTTTCCCCCTCCTCCTCCTCCTCTCATTCATTTTGGGGGGATCTTTTGATGCCCATATATATATATATATTTTTTTTTCTTTTGATTTTTATTTCGAGCTACACAACACACAACACAGGCACAATAGCCAGAAAAAATAAAATAAAAATAATTAACATTCGAGCTCGAAAAGGAGTGGGAAGAAGACAAGCTTATTGACTCCCACCCCTGTTCGTAAAGTTAAATAATAATGTGGTTGCAACAGTAACCATGTTTAGTTCTTAGTATCTTACAAAACAATTAAGTTGGTTACATATTTACAGATTAAGTCAACATTCATAGTATGTTACACTTTATAACAAGTTTATAATTTTGTTTCCTATACCCATTTTATTACCATGTTGGTATTACTGTTATTCACCATCATCATTATCATCACAGCCCATATAACATTAGTCTATATCAAAGTGTTTGAATGATACATAACATACTCCACATTTATTCATGAAAGGCACAATGATCGCAGAGTGATTGATGCTCATGATAACAAGAGTAGTCTTAATGTGTGTTAAAAAGGACTCGGGGCTTTTCTTTTTTCTTTCTTGTGTCTGGACCTGCTGCCAGAGGGGAGCAGCCCCCGAGCAACAGGACCTTCATTTATTAAGTGTCCTATACTGTGCATTAAAAGAGACAAGTTTTAAGTTTTCTGCCCTATACTACGAGTTATGTTGAATGCAGAGTACGTGGATATGTGCATGTTTTAATTGTAAGACTTTAATTCCTTTATATTACCATCAGCATCAATAGCAATACCGCTGTCTGGATCGCTTAAATTTGATTCTAAGAGTAATATATAAATTGTTAGGTACTTATCCTGGGCTGTTAAAATAATGCTGATAACACAACAGCAATAGTAATAACAATGGCAATAACAATTACCCCTCCTAATCAATAAAAGACACAATACATTTTAAATAGCTATGATTAATAAAAATAAAGACAAGAAAAAATAAAGAAAGAAGCCAGCAAAACAAAAATACAAAACAAAAATACAGTCAAGACATACAGTATAGTTAATGTAAGATATTACTAATACAATATATTCACCTAATTATTTCTTATTTACTAAATTAACTATTATATCCTCTTACAATAATAATAACAATAATAACAATAATAATACCAGTAATGGTATTATTTTTATGTAACACCCTTTAGTCCCATTTCCTCCTCCTGGTACTTTGACCATACCATTTTTTTATATCTTGATTTGAAATGATGAATATTTGGACATTGTTTGAGCTCTGCCCCCAATTTGTTCCAGAGTTTAACTCCACATACAGACACACACATACTTTTCCTAGTGGAAGACACTGCTTGAATCTTAAAGTTATCACACCCCCTCAGGTCATATCCCCCTTCTGTGCGTGCAAAAAGCATTTGTATCCTTGCAGGTAGCACATTTTTGTTGGCTTTAAACAAAAGTTGGGCAGTAGAGATATCAACTAAATCAGAAATTTTTAACAGTTTAGACTGCAGAAATAATATATTAGTGTGATCATAATATCCTACTTTTTGTATAATTCTTACAGCCCGTTTTTGGAGTATAACAAGGGGGTGTAATGAGCTTTTATAGTTATTGCCCCAAACTTCTACACAGTAGTTTAGATATGGCAAAACTAATGAACCATATAATAGAAATAATGCATTGTAATTTAAGAAAAACTTTGCCTTATTAATGATTGAGATGCTTTTGGAGACTTTACCTTGTATGTGACTTATGTGTGGTTTCCAGCTTAATTTACTGTCAATGGTGACTCCTAAGAATTTAATTTCAGATACTGTATCTAAGACTACACCGTCTATATTTACTGGGTCTGGTTTTCCGTTATAACTACCAAAGAACATTACTTTTGTTTTATTTAAGTTGAGGGACAATTTGTTAATGTCCATCCATGTTTTCAATATATACATGGTATCACAGTCAAATCACAGCTCTGAATATAAACCACACATGCACAGATTTAGCTAGCTCTTACTTGTTCTGAAATGGTCAGAACAGACCTTATAGTGCCGTTTTTCAGGGGGTTAGGGTTGAATCCCTCTCGGTTCATCCTCGCCAACTAAAGGGTTCTTCTCTCCGTCAAGAGTCGCTCTGTGTTGCTCCCCTGGCTTGTAATAACCTTCGTAATGTCCCCACAATCTGCATGGTTACTGCAGCCCCAAACGACGCAGATAGTCGGCATGTTTTAGCGCAAAAAAAGTGACTTCCTGTTACTTACGTGGCAATAAAAATCATTCTGATTCTGATTTGTTTACCTTCAACTACCGGCGGCTGGACATACAAGATGGCGGACTGCGGAATTGTGGGTAGTGCGTGACGTCAATGGAAAACCATCTATTGTCATCAAATTCATGACTCGAGTCCAAGTCCACACCTCTGATTCAGGGCGATACAAATGAAAGCTGGAGAGGAACAAAGTATAATCATCATGGTCCAAAAGTCCAGGATGATTATATTGGGTGAGCATATACTGAGTAGAGTTTCGTTCGGGCCTGAAAAATCAAGCCCGACCTGGCCCGAGCCCGCTAATACTAAGCCCGAGCCTGTATAAGCCCGACCAATTAAGGCTGCATAACAGGCCCGAGCCCGACACATCTGATTTCCCTTGTTGCGCGCACTCACCTTCCAATTGCAAGTTTAGCTCTCCACTTTTGAATGTGTTTTGGAACTCCATTCGATCCATTTCTATTTATGTTCCGTGTGTTCGCTGTTGACCACAGCATTCAACAGGAAAAACAGGGATGATGCGTTCACGGCTTGTAGGACACGCCGGTTACGGTGTTATTAATATTTATACTTTTTGAATAACTTGTTGTCAATCAACTGACATTATTATTAATAAATATATATATGAATATCATTACAAAATAATAATAATGATTTAAAATAAATAAATAAAAAATAATAAAATGGAGCCTGAGCCCGGCACGGCCTGACAGCTGAGCGCTGAAATGAGGCCAGAGCCCGGCCCTGCTCGAGCTTGGGCTTAAAAGTGAAACTCTAATACTGAGCAAATATTTACTCAGTTGGTAGAGCATTGGCCTTTGAGTCTGAAGGTTGTGGGTTCGAGCCCACCGCGAGACCTTCTCCACATACTCCACTGATGTCGGCTGTTGTTATGTCCTTGGGCAAGGCACTTTACCCACTTTCCCCATAAGGACCGCGGAAGAAATGTTTTCTGCATGCTTTGATGTGTATTCATCAAACTGAAATTTCCCCACTGTGGGACACATAAAGTTTTACATATATATAAATATATAAACAAAAAATCTCATCTTTGGCCCTCCGCGGGCGGTTATCCCTCTCTAAGCTCGGGTCCTCTACCAGAGGCCTGGGAGCTTGAGGGTTCTGCGCAGTATCTTTGCTGTTCCTAGCACGGCACATTTCTGGACCGAGATGTCCGAGGTTGTTCCAGGGATCCGCTGTAACCACTCATCTAGCTTCGGGGTCACTGCCCCGAGTGCACCGATCACCACGGGCACTACTGTCACCTTTACCCTCCAGGCCCTCTCCAGCTCCTCTCTGAGACCTTGGTATTTCTCAAGCTTTTTGTGTTATTTTTACCTGATGTTACCATCGCTTGGAATTGCCACGTCCACCACCACGGCTGTCCTCTGCCCTTTTGTATGTATGTGTGTGTATGTATATATGTATGTATATGTAATATATACAGTATGTATATGTATTATATACATACTGTATATGTATTATATACAGTATGTATATATCATGATTGCAGCGTCTGTTGATATTCATAATAATAATAATATAATACATCATAATATAGTGATAATAATCTGTTTCTGTCTGCAGCTGTCCCGACTGAAGCAGGAGCTGGCCCAAGTCAAACAGGAGCTGCAGTTTAAGGAGATGGGAGTAGAAACGCTGCAGGAGTGAGTGTCCTGGACCTCCCTCTCTCTGGTCTTCCATCTTCCCTCTATCTCTCTCTCTCCCTCTCTCTCTCTCTCTCTCCACTCTCCTCTCTCCCATCTCTCTCGCCTGTCTCTCCCCTCCTCCCCCTCTCCTCCCCCGCTGACCCAGCTCTGGCCAACACCTTTTCCTTTTCCACTTCCTGTTGAATGCTTTGTTTCAGCTTCTACTTCGCATGAAACTTCAAATCAGAATGTAACAGAAACGCAAACTCGTCTTATTTTTAATTGGTTTTATTTTATAATTGGTTAAAAACATGATGTGAAGGAAATTAGATCCGACTTTTATCACGCTTTGCACACACTAAAGAAACATGTGGTGAAGTGTAGCGCTATGTTTGCGTCGCGGTGATGCACTGAAGAATTGTGCGCGAAGAGTGCGTGTTGGAAAAGCAAAGGTACTTACTGCATTTACTTACCTTGCCACATTTGCAGCTAAAGTGAAAATAAAGCAGTTGATTCATGTCTCAGGCTCAAGCTCAAAGGAGGCTAATACAGCTGACTAAAATATTAAAATCTTGGTATTTGGTAGCACAGGAAGCTAAACCTAACCTTAACGAAAACTTTAATTTGATTGCTTTATTTAAGTTTGTGTTAAAAGAGTCACAAATAGACACAAAATGTGAATATTCTCTGCTACTCAGCTGGAGAAAACACCATCATAGTAAGACCTGGAGCGACTCGTGCGTGTGATATGCAGCGAGTGAGTGATGCATTTAAGGTGACTCTGAGGCTGAGTTTACACGGAGACAATGTGGCAGTAAAACAGTATAGTTGGATGTCGGTTCCTACCAACCGTTCATACAAAGACTGTGTTCCAGGGGGGTCAAAACGTAAGTGTTCAGATCCAGCCTGCAGAGTGGGACAACTCAGGCCCTGTTTATACTGAGACGCTGCGCAGACGTTTCCAGGATATTAACAGAAACGACCTGGCTCCTAATGCAAATTTCTCAGTGTTCACATGAGGTTGAAAAACGATGTAGTTCTAGCGCCCGGCCAGTAGTGGGCAGAGAAACTTTACAACACTCACACGACCCCGAGCCCCGTGCCCAGCCCCCCTCTCGGCAGTGTACTCACTTCCTGTGCCAGACCCTCAGAACGCACCAACATCATTCTGCCTTTTAACAGCAGCTGTGAAAATGGAAACTGAACCTAGAGCTTCGCGTGGTCTCGTTTGGACGAATGAAGGAGTAGAATTATCCTCTGTGAAGCGCTGGAAGCCCACGAAGCTAGTTAGTGCGCGCGCCGCCATTGTTGTTGATGTTTGTTCTCCGCTACTGCGCATGTCCAAATTTACGTGCGGGGAGCAGCGCGGAGGCGGGAGTCAGAGCAGAGGGGGATTTCACACCTTTCCCCTCTCGCGGGTGTGAAAGAGAGCCCCCGCTGTGCAGCGTATCTGAGTTGTCCCACTCTGCAGGCTGGATCTGAACACTTACGTTTTCACCCCCCTGGAACACAGTCTTTGTATGAACGGTTGGTAGCAACCGACATCCAACTATACCGTTTTACTGCCACATTGTCTCCGTGTAAACTAACCGTGCACTAACTAGCTTCGTGGGCCTCCAGCGCGGGACAGAGGATAATTCTACTCCTTCGTTCGTCCAAACGAGACCACGCGAAGCTCTAGGTTCAGTTTCCATTTTCACAGCTGCTGTTTAAAGTGGAAATATCGTGTTTTCAAATAATTGATTTTTACATCTAAATCATTAATTTGTGGCCTATATAAAGCGTAACTGCAATGCCTGGGTCTGAGTCTCATTATTTGTAGCTCCACGGGCCTTTCTTCTACACCTGTTCTGAGGTGCGTCTGAGAGCAACCTGTTTTGGTGCGGTCTCTTTAAATGCAAATGAGGCGCTTTTGACCACGCCCCCATTCAGGTGACACAGGTTCAACTCCACCCCGAGCGGCCATTTTTGTAGTTTCTAAGCACAGATACAATTATCTCATAGAAACTTCTCATTACATCGCAAACATGAAGCAGGCCTTCCTCATTGACTGAAAGCAAATATAAATTTTCATTCTTAGTCCAGTCTTATTATCGACTCTTCTCTTTTTAGCTTTGGGATCCATGCGCACAGTCTATGATACTCACACGCCGGTTTGACAGACACGTTGACAGAAAATTTTAAATTGAATATTACTTATGCACAATTTTACAGCATTTAAAAACGTTAAGAACGTTTTTCCTTCTACAGAAGGAAAAAGACGCATGCGCCTCCGGAGCCGCAGGTTGCCGACTCCTAGTTTATACAGTATGTGGAAGCAAATACTGTAGAGGATCAGGATATGTGCAGTTTCAACAATAAAATAAAAAGCAATAGTCTACATTAAAGAGAGTAATAAACATGTCTCAGAGTGAAGGAGGTGGACACAGACAACACTATTGTTTGTTACAGGGATGAGAATTGGTCAAAAAAGTTGTCAGCCATTTGCTGGCTCTAAATCTGTTTAATTTGTTCACAACATATTACTTTTGGCCTCAAACATGAGTTTTTAATGCAATGCAAAATGTAGGTATCAGAGCTTTATTTAGGGTGTTTAATCGCGCTTCGAGAGGAGAGGGGAGACACGGACTGTTTCCTGCAGCAGTGCATTTATTGGGTGCACAGATTACTCAAAGACACGCATGGTCCTGTGCGCGTTTATGGGGTTGGGTACATGGCCACGTTGAGGCTGCGCGCTCAGCCGCAACACAGTGGAGAGGCTGCGAGCGGCTGGACGCTCACAGCCTCTCGCAGCCGCTGGACGCGGAAGCTGCTCATTACAAAGCGGCCGCAGATGCCCCGGAACACTGCGGCCGCTGAGGTGGCGGAATCCCGTTCGAGTACATACAGCAGGTGCCCCGCGGATACGCGCGCCCCGCTCGAACAATTCAACGGATTTACACTTCTCATAAAAATGTGTTTTGTATGAGGCAGACAGACCGGCCCAAATATGGGCATCGGCCCTTTGGGCATTGCCCGGTACGCCCGATGGCCAGTCCAGCCCTGTTTGCTGGCATCCTTGAGCTTGGACTACAAATTAAGTGATGCACAGTAGAGGAGGGCTGGGCCGAAGTGTTTTGTTAGACGCCCATGCCCTTATATAGCAGTCTCGCTGCAAATACTGTGACGTAATAATTCTAAACACGTAATAGAGAACGGCAAAATCAGAACGGGTTGAAAAATCTTACCTAAACAGAATATGAAGTGTTCTCTGCAACCCATGAAGAGACTGATTTCAACTTTTTTGCACTTCTAGAGGCTCCAACTACACAACATAAGGCATTTAAGGCACAAAAAGTGGATTTTTCATGATATGTCCCCTTTAAAGGCAGAATGATGTTGCTACTTTCTGAGGGTCTGGCACAGGAAGTGAGTATACTGCCGGGAGGGGGGCTGGGCACCGGCCTGGGGGTCGTGTGTTGTGTTGTAAAGTTTCTCTGCCCACTACTGGCCGGGCGCTAGAACTACATCGTTTTTCAACCTCATGTGAACGCTGAGAAATTTGCAATAGGAGTCAGGTCGTTTCTGTTAATAGCCTGGAAACGTCTGCGCAGCGTCTCAGTATAAACAGGGCCTAAAAATAAGGGACACAATCCGTCTCTTATTGATTCAATACAGGATGCGCATAGTTTTTCTAAAATACAGGACAATTCTGTACTTTAAGGGAAGGTTGGCAACCCTAGCCAGTGCTTACCTTAGCTGTTAGCTGCCATGTCAGCTGTTTGCTTCCAAGTCAGTATTTTACCTTTATCTGTACTGATGCCAAACGTTAACACAAAACACATCTAAAACTTGGAGTCGGTTCAGAAACGCTTAAATACCTTTGGCCTTTCTTTGGTTTCCCACTTTTTCCCACTGGGTTCTGAGTGGTTTCTCTCTGATGCAGGAGCCAGATACAGACAACATTAGACTACAACAGACAACTGTGATGTATCAAACTCATTTAACTCAGAGAAAACATTTTTTTATTTATTTGATCGGGACAACACACAATAATGAACAATCATATACAAGTTGTACACAAATTGTAAATGTGCCAGATTGTAGCAAAACTGCGAATTTACATGGAACATAGAGCTGATCTCAGGTCACAGGCAGAGGCCTCCTCCCTGGACGCGGACCCCACCTCAGGATGCACCAGTGCAGCGTGGGCCCAACAGGAAGCAGTGCTCAGACGAGGGAGGTGGGGGCGAGGGGAGGGCGCAGGGGGATGGAGAGCACTTTAAAAACACCACGATATCGCGGCACATTCCTCAGCACTTCCTGAGGCACTGCCTTATCTCAGAGATAATACACAACTGTAATTCTCAGAATAGAGAATCATGGCAGCATCGTGTGTGTGTGTGTGTGTGTGTGTGTGTGTGTGTGTGTGTGTGTGTGTGTGTGTGTGTGTGTGTGTGTGTGTGTGTGTGTGTGTGTGTGTGCGTTTGTTTTGTGGACATATGAGGACTTTTGTATGATAACACACCTTCAATATCAGGACCTGAGGAAATGTCAGGACTTTTTTCAGGTCCCCATTTTTCCATGCATACTACAGTGTTGTAGAGGCCCAGAACAAGCTCCACACCAAAAATCAAGCATGTCCCAAAATGTCTACAAATAGTGAAAATGTGTGTCGGGGCCGAAACACTCCGTCCCAAAAAGTTTGAAGCGCCTCTCTGGTCGTGCACGGTAACTACCTTAACACACTTTTAACACACACACACTTGTCCTCATATGTCACCTATTTTGTCACAAACTTAAATACATTCCCAGAGGTGGGTAGAATAGCCAAAATATTGACTCATGGTAATTTAAAAAGATACTTGAGTAGTGAGTGTGTGTTTGTAAAAAAAAAAAAAAGAAAAAAACTTTCAGCCAGAAGGGGCCTTTTGGAGTGGAGCTTGCATGTTCTCCTTGTGTCAGTAGATTATCTCCCTGAAAAATTGTCTTAACTCCAGTTGGAAAATCATGTTTAAATTAGAATTTAAAACATCAAAAACAAATATAAAAGTGAGGTGTCAAAAATTACAAACACAATGTATAAAAATAAATAATTCTACATTAAAGTTATAATGTATTTGTCCATCTACAGAGTTACTCTCCGTGAAAGGAGTAACGATTGATAAATATTTCACTCAGACCTGAAGTGCTTGTTATACTGTAGGTCCTAATATGTCACTCAGACCTGATGTGTGTGTTGTAGGTCCTAATATCTCACTCAGACCTGATGTGTGTGTTGTAGGTCCTAATATCTCACTCAGACCTGATGTGTGTGTTGTAGGTCCTAAAATCTCACTCAGACCTGATGTGTGTGTTGTAGGTCCTGATATCTCACTCAGACCTAATGTGTGTGTTGTAGGTCCTGATATCTCACTCAGACCTGATGTGTGTGTTGTAGGTCCTCATATCTCACTCAGACCTGATGTGTGTGTTGTAGGTCCTCATATTTCACTCAGACCTGATGTGTGTGTTGTAGGTCCTAATATCTCACTCAGACCTGATGTGTGTGTTGTAGGTCCTAATATCTCACTCAGACCTGATGTGTGTGTTGTAGGTCCTAATATCTCACTCAGACCTGATGTGTGTGTTGTAGGTCCTAATATCTCACTCAGACCTGATGTGTGTGATGTCGGTCCTAATATCTGATTATCTTGCGTCACATTACAGGTCTTCCTGTGACACGCATTTTCACACACGTCTCTCCTGCACTTTCTTATATTCTCCGCTTCTGTTAAACCTTTCATATAAGCCCCAGACCGAGGGGCACAGGGAGTGTGTGGCTGCAAGGCCAAAGAAAAGCGTTTCCTACGAGTATAACTCCCTCTGTCCTGACCCTGCTCTCAGTAGTGCTATCGCAGTAACACTTCAGACATTAAAGAATCAGTCTTTATTTAATCACCAGAACACACACACACACTTGTAACTTCCCTGCCTCCGATCGCTTTGCTCCACACTTTTCATTCTCATTCATTCATTTCTCATTGCTCGTACGCTCGTTGCTGAAGTGTGTGTGTGCACTCGTGTCCGCGGTGCGCACACACACACGTGCACACATATGTTACTATCTGCCCTGACCCTCGCTCTCAGTGTGGTGCTATTGCAATAACACTTCAGACATTCAAGAATCAGTCTCTATTCGCCAGAACACACACACACAAACACACACATTCCCGCAAACACTAGTGAGGTCGTAGTTAAAAACATGAAAACTGAGGACTTGCCTTTCCCAATGTTTTAGGAGGAAGAAAAAAACACTTTCTAGACACTTGATGGCGCTGCGGAGCTATACACCCATTGAAAAAATTTTAGAACCAAGATTTAAGAAAAAGTTTTGAACCATCAGAGTGGGGGCAATAAGTGAAATTTGCAAAAAAAATCATGAATAGACCTTTTTTTTAACTCTTTGAAGGTATATTTAGAATTATATAGTTGGTCACATGTGCAAATGGACACAGATTATTATGTGGGATCACAGCAATTTTAATAAAACAAAGCAAAACATTTGAAAGACAGGTTTATTTGCATCTTTGTATTTTGACTTGTCCCAACAGGACAATTACAAAGGACCTAATACAAAGTGCTCTTGAACGGGACTTTAAAACATAACTGCACTTAACATTAAAGCAGGGCGGTCAAACTCATTCCTAAAGCGCCGCAGTGGCTGCAGGTTTTCCATCAGACCAAGCAGGAGCAGAGCAGACTCCTCCCATTTCCTCAAACCTTCAGGTTAAGACTGAACTCACTGAGGAAATGGGAGGAGTCTGCTCTGCTCCTGCTTGGTCTGATGGAAAACCTGCAGCCACTGCGGCGCTTTGGGAATGAGTTTGACACAAATACCAGCTACACAAGCTGCCTCTTGAGTCGGATAATAGTATTATACACAAAGTACTTGAGGTCCTTCCAGGTTCTGTTGATGAGGGCTGCAGACTCCTGTGTGAGGCACAGCACACAGAGCCATGTACTCCCCCATCCTCTTCTCCACGGCTCTCCTCCTCACTCCAGGGTTTCTTTGGGTTTCTAGAAGCTTCTGATGGAGACAATAAGACACATAAAGACATGTTTATCCTGATGACCAGGTCTGGACCAGGACTGAACCAGGACTGAACCAGGACTAAACCAGGACTGAACCAGGACTGAACCAGGACTGAACCAGGACTACCCTAGGTCTAAACACCAGGACTGAACCAGGTCTAAACCAGGACTGAACCAGGTCTAAACCAGGACTGAACCAGGACTGAACCAGGTCTAAACCAGGACTAAACCAGGTCTAAACCAGGACTGAACCAGGACTAAACCAGGACTAAACCGAACCAGGACTAAACCAGGCCTAAACCAGGTCTGAACCAGGACTAAACCAGGACTAAACCAGTACTAAACCAGGACTAAACCGAACTAGGACTGAACCAGGTCTAAACCAGGTCTAAAAAAGGACTGAACCAGGACTTAACCAGGACTGAACCAGGTCTAAACAAGGACTGAACCAGGACTGAACCAGGCCTAAACCAGGTCTAAACCAGGTCTAAACCAGGACTAAACCAGGATCAGTTGTACTCACCATCTATCCTCTTGGTCCGTTTGTTTTTCTGGGCCTTTGTGGAGGTCGGCTCTAGCTCCTCTTCATCAGACACTTCAGCACACGCTAAGAACACACAGAAGGGTCAGCAAGGACTAAACCAGGTCTGAACCAGGACTAAACCAGGTCTAAACCAGGACTGAAACAGGACTAAACCAGGACTGAACCAGGACTAAACCAGGTCTGAACCAGGACTAAACCAGGACTAAACCAGGACTAAACCAGGTCTGAACCAGGACTGAACCAGGACTGAACCAGGACTGAACCAGGACTAAACCAGGACTAAACCAGGACTAAACCAGGACTGAACCAGGACTAAACCAGGACTGAACCAGGACTAAACCAGATCTACCCTAGGTCTAAACCAGGTCTAGCCTAGGTCTAAACCAGGACTAAACCAGGACTAAACCAGGACTAAACCAGGACTAAACCAGGACTGAACCAGGACTGAACCAGGACTAAACCAGGCCTAAACCACGTCTAAACCACGTCTAAACCAGGACTAAACCAGGTCTAAACCAGGACTGAACCAGGTCTACCCTAGGTCTAAACATCAGGACTACCCCAGGACTGAAACAGGTCTAAACCAGGTCTAAACCAGGACTAAACCAGGACTAAACCAGGATCAGTTGTACTCACCATCTGTCCTCTTGGTCCGTTTGTTTTTCTGGGCCTTTGTGGAGGTCGGCTCTAGCTCCTCTTCATCAGACACTTCAGCACACGCTAAGAACACACAGAAGGGTCAGCAAGGACTAAACCAGGTCTGAACCAGGACTAAACCAGGACTAAACCAGGACTAAACCAGGTCTAAGCCAGGACTAAACCAGGACTAAACCAGGACTACCCTAGGTCTAAACCAGGTCTAAACCAGGTCTGAACCAGGTCTGAACCAGGTCTGAACCAGGTCTAAACCAGGTCTAAACCAGGTCTGAACCAGGTCTAAACCAGGTCTAAACCAGGACTAAACCAGGACTAAACCAGGACTAAACCAGGACTAAACCAGGACTGAACCAGGACTACCCTAGGTCTAAACCAGGACTGAACCAGGTCTAAACCAGGACTGCCCTAGGTCTAAACCAGGACTAAACCAAGTCTAAAAAAGGACTGAAACAGGACTAAACCAGGTCTGAACCAGGTCTGAACCAGGACTAAACCAGATCTGAACCAGGTCTGAACCAGGACTAAACCAGGACTAAACCAGGACTAAACCAGGACTAAACCAGGACTGAACCAGGACTACCCTAGGTCTAAACCAGGACTGAACCAGGACTGAACCAGGTCTAAACCAGGACTGCCCTAGGTCTAAACCAGGACTAAACCAGGTCTAAACCAGGACTGAAACAGGACTAAACCAGGACTGAACCAGGACTGAACCAGGTCTAAACCAGGTCTAAACCAGGTCTAAACCAGGACTGAAACAGGACTGAACCATGTCTAAACCAGGTCTAAACCACGTCTAAACCAGGACTACACCAGGATCAGTTGTACTCACCATCTATCCTCTTGGTCCGTTTGTTTTTCTGGGCCTTTGTGGAGGTCGGCTCTAGCTCCTCTTCATCAGACACTTCAGCACACGCTAAGAACACACAGAAGGGTCAGCAAGGACTAAACCAGGTCTAAACCAGGACTAAACCAGGACTCCAGGACTGAACCAGGTCTGAACCAGGTCGAAACCAGGACTAAACCAGGACTAAACCAGGACTAAACCAGGACTGAACCAGGACTACCCTAGGTCTAAACCAGGACTACCCTAGGTCTAAACCAGGACTGAACCAGGACTGAACCAGGTCTAAACCAGGACTGCCCTAGGTCTAAACCAGGACTAAACCAGGTCTAAAAAAGGACTGAAACAGGACTAAACCAGGACTGAACCAGGACTGAACCAGGTCTAAACCAGGTCTAAACCAGGACTGAAACAGGACTGAACCATGTCTAAACCAGGTCGAAACCAGGACTAAACCAGGACTAAACCAGGATCAGTTGTACTCACCATCTGTCCTCTTGGTCCGTTTGTTTTTCTGGGCCTTTGTGGAGGTCGGCTCTAGCTCCTCTTCATCAGACACTTCAGCACACGCTAAGAACACACAGAAGGGTCAGCAAGGACTAAACCAGGTCTGAACCAGGACTAAACCAGGACTAAACCAGGACTGAACCAGGACTACCCTAGGTCTAAACCAGGACTACCCTAGGTCTAAACCAGGACTGAACCAGGACTGCCCTAGGTCTAAACCAGGACTAAACCAGGTCTAAAAAAGGACTGAAACAGGACTAAACCAGGACTGAACCAGGACTGAACCAGGACTGAACCAGGACTGAACCAGGACTGAACCAGGTCTAAACCAGGTCTAAACCAGGACTGAACCAGGAATAAACCAGGATCAGTTGTACTCACCATCTGTCCTCTTGGTCCGTTTGTTTTTCTGGGCCTTTGTGGAGGTCGGCTCTAGCTCCTCTTCATCAGACACTTCAGCACACGCTAAGAACACACAGAAGGGTCAGCAAGGACTAAACCAGGTCTGAACCAGGTCTGAACCAGGACTAAACCAGGACTAAACCAGGTCTAAGCCAGGACTAAACCAGGACTAAACCAGGACTGAACCAGGTCTACCCTAGGTCTAAACCAGGTCTAAACCAGGTCTGAACCAGGTCTGAACCAGGACTGAACCAGGTCTGAACCAGGTCTGAACCAGGTCTACCCTAGGTCTAAACCAGGACTGAACCAGGACTGAACCAGGTCTAAACCAGGTCTACCCTAGGTCTAAACCAGGTCTGAACCAGGTCTGAACCAGGTCTGAACCAGGACTAAACCAGGTCTGAACCAGGACTAAACCAGGACTGAACCAGGTCTGAACCAGGTCTGAACCAGGTCTGAACCAGGTCTGAACCAGGTCTGAACCAGGTCTGAACCAGGTCTGAACCAGGACTAAACCAGGACTAAACCAGGACTAAACCAGGACTAAACCAGGACTGAACCAGGTCCGAACCAGGACTAAACCAGGACTGAACCAGGTCCGAACCAGGACTAAACCAGGACTGAACCAGGTCCGAACCAGGACTAAACCAGGACTGAACCAGGACTGAACCAGGACTAAACCAGGTCTACCCTAGGTCTAAACCAGGTCTAGCCTAGGTCTAGCCTAGGTCTAAACCAGGTCTAGCCTAGGTCTAAACCAGGACTGAACCAGGATCAGTTGTACTCACCATCTATCCTCTTGGTCCGTTTGTTTTTCTGGGCCTTTGTGGAGGTAGGCTCTAGCTCCTCTTCATCAGACACTTCAGCACACGTTAAGAACACACAGAAGGGTCAGCAAGGACTAAACCAGGTCTGAACCAGGACTAAACCAGGACTAAACCAGGTCTAACCAGGTATGAACCAGGACTGCAGTCATGTGTCTCAGGTGTTAGACTCACCATCAGGGGGCTTGTCCATGGGACCATCAGCCTCAGCCTCCAAGTCACTGTGCTGAAGCTCTGTTTGGTCTGTGAACATATGAAAGATAATCATCATCATGAATCATGCCTTTGATCATATTTATGTAGAGTACAAACCACAGACAGCTGCATCCAGGGTCTGGAGGGTCTTTCCCTTTAGGGCCTCTGCCCCACCTTCCATTGCAAACAACAGCTTCCCAACTTTAGCCACTTGAAAGGTTTTATCAGTCTGTCTGTAGTAGTTGCAGTGGACTCTGATGTCGTGGCCCATGAACTTTGCAACCTGCTCCAGCTCTTGGTTCGAGAGGTCCAGAAGTTGACACAATGTTGCCACGTGTTTCCTTAATTTAGTCGACCTGAGCATTGTAGGGTTTTCAGCTCCACACACAAGGGAAAACTTTCTTAAACAGTCACAACCACGAATATGTGTGTTTGTTCCAATGTTTGCAAATAAAAAAGGATTGTCTTGTGGTGTTCCAACTTTGTCCCTGAGCTCGATCATGAAGTCTATTGAAGCTTTAGTGCGCGCCAGGAACAGCACGGGGACTTTCCGCCCTCTTTTGCCTCTCGTAACCATCCGAGTGAGTCTGCGTCTCTACAGGTGACAGTGTTTCATGTCTTTGTTCATGTGACCAGTGTCAGCGCTCTTAAACGTCTCCAGTGTGATCCTTGATGCTTCTCCTTCACGTTTTTTGTTGAAGACGATCACTTGAGCTAGAAGACTTTCGCTAAGCTGTTTGTATGACGACACAGTTACATTCTGCCTCAGGTCGGCTATGGCTTGGTCCTCTATAGTCCTCAGGTGATTCTGCAGCGCAACAATGTCCTTCGTCAATGGAACACTGTCGTCTTTGTTCCATTTGTTTTGCTCTATGGAGCTGTGAGCGTTTGCCGAAACATAGTCTGACCACATTTTGTCCAGAAGCTCTTTAAACTTCTTTGCTTTGTTTTCACCAACAACATCCGACTTCATGATGCAGTGACCGATCCAAGCATTGGTCGCTGCTTTGAGAGAAAAGCCTATCTTCACCGCTGTTGAAGGTTTTCCATACTCTGACTTTTCTGAATTGAATTTTGCTACTTTTTTAGCTGCTGCTATTGCCAAGTTAAAATGTGTTGGGTCGCACAAATCTTTCTCTGATGCGTTTGTCAATTTGTTTAGCTGCTAAAATGAAACGTCCGAGTTCCCTCAGTTTCTGTGCGATGTACCGGTGTTGCGATTGTTCACGTCCTTTTCTGGCAAACAGTGAATCTCCAAATATACAAATCATGTCATCACTTTGGATTTGTGCTGTGATATTATTTTGCAACATGCTTGAAATTACAGTTTGGGTTCCCTCTGAGGTTTTCTGCATCGGAAGGAGCACAGAAGAGACCGCTTGGATCAGTTTTCTTTTTGTTCCCAAATCTGTGCTTTCCTTTTTATTCCTACAAACTTTATCATGTCTCCATAGATCCCTTTTTTTAAACATGGCAAATAATCATTAACAGGTGCGTTAAGAGAGAGCCGCTTCCAGGTGACAAGCTCCCCTTTACCTTCTTTTAGCACTTTCTGATTATGCTGCCAGTCCCCCTTATTTCTCAGGGACTCAAGATGTGTCTTTCTTTCCTTGGAGCGAACTGGAAAGCTAAAAGCCTGAGCCACATCCGTTTCAGCCATGTGCTTCATCTCTAAATGGCGGGCAATTTTTAGATTAGGCTTTTGACAGTAAACACAGTAATGAGATTTGTCCCACACTCTTTTGCCATTTTTCTTACTACTAGTATTTACAGTCAATGCATTTGTCCCCGAGTTGTTTTTGAGGCGGTGGTAGTTTTTGGTGCGTCTTGTCTTTGGTCTGGACTCACATGTGTCAGAAAATACTGAAACGTTGCTGGATAATGTAGAGGAGGCTTGTACTCATCACTGGACCAGGCATCTGAAGATGGCTACTCATCTGCAACATGCAAGATTTACAATTAGAATTCATCTGCATTTTGTTTAATACATTTCAACACATTTGAATTTTACAATAAATTTAAAATGATTTTTGGAAATTACTCCAAGAAGTCCTGAATCCAAAACACGTTCTAAAGTAAGTAATATTCTTATATAGTGCATTTCAGAGACCAAGGGGAAAAAATAAATAAAATAATAATCGCTTGCTCATACAATTTTCATAATTCAGCAATTGATTTTAGAAGGCCTCCATCTTTTTCGAAGTTTCAGAGATCAGAACCACAGACCCACGCACAGACCCAGACCCACAGAACAACGCGCAGACCCGCACAGACACAGACCCACAGAACCACGCACAGACCCAGACCCGCGCACAGACCCAGACCCGCGCACAGACCCAGACCCGCGCATAGACCCAGACACAGACCCACGCCGCCATCAAACGAACTTACCGCTGAGCACCACGTTTTGTATTTAAAACATTGGATTTGATACGGAGAAGTTACTTTGGCCGGAGTTATTACAATGAAAAGCACTCACTTTACCCACAGAAATAAGACAGAGGTACTTACCGCATCGGCTCTGCTCTCACGCGCCATCTCTCCGGTTCGTCGCCGTGTGCTCCTCGCGTGGTCCTCGTGTGCACGTGAACTCAGACAGAACGTGCATTCGTTTCACGCGTGGCTCATTGTGCGCTCTCATTGGTTAAGATACACAGTGTTGTGATTGGTTAAATCCACCTGCAAGCTGTTTCTTTCTCCCTCAAAAAATATAGTTTTTAACTTATTAATTTTACAATTACAACATTTCAAAGTTTTCAAATGAAACTTGTTCCTGGTGAACTCGTGTTAAAGCCCTTTCCTGTACTGTGTGTGTTAAAACAACACATTTAAACATGTTTAGTTTTAGGCTGTGATACTAAGTGCACAGGGGGCGGGACCGTAGGCTACTCTGATTGGCTGATCCAGAGTGGGCCATCAAAGAGAAACAATGTTTCAATCTGCAGCTGCAGAATCCAAGGCCTGGACTGAGACCTGAACTGAGACCTGAACTGAGACCTGGCCTGAGACCTGGACTGAGACCTGAACTGAGACCTGGACTGAGACCTGAACTGAGACCTGGACTGAGACCTGAACTGAGACCTGAACTGAGACCTGAACTGAGACCTGGACTGAGACCTGGACTGAGACCTGAACTGAGACCTGGACTGAGACCTGAACTGAGACCTGGACTGAGACCTGAACTGAGACCTGAACTAAGACCTGAACTGAGACCTGAACTGATAAACTTAGAACGTATGTTCAGGGCTGCAGGAGACACATGCGCACAGTCAAAAATATAGTCATACAATCAAACAAAAATACAACACAGTAAAAAAGGCTATTGGCTGGCATTACATTTGATGAAAAAAATCATCTCAAGCTTCTGTTTGTAACATCAAAAAATCGAAATAATG